GGGCACCCTCTCTCGCCTCAGGACCTACACGCCCTCTCGTGCCCCAGTCGCCCCAGCTCTGGGGCACCCTCTCTTGCCTCAGGACCTACACGCCCTCTCGTGCCCCAGTAACCCCAGGTCTGGGGCTCCCTCTCTCACCTCAGGACCTAAACGCCCTCTCGTGCCCCAGTCGCCCCAGCTCTGGGGCACCCTCTCTCGCCTCAGGACCTACACGCCCTCTCATGCCCCAGTAACCCCAGGTCTGGGGCACCCTCTCTCGCCTCAGGACCTACACTCCCTCTCATGCCCCAGTAACCCCAGGTCTGGGGCACCCTCTCACTCCCTCTTGTGCCCCAGTTGCCCCGGTCCCTCCAGGTCCAATGCACTCTCTTGCGCCCCAGCTCAGAGACTCGAGTCAGCAGCTGCCTCTGTTAAGTGACAGGTGGGAAATGTGTCCACTACGATGAATGCACCACCTATGACAGCACCATTGTAGCTTCCCAACTGAACAGACAGACAGCTCACATAGAAAAGAAGAGTGACCCCAGCAGGATCACCGCCTTGCCTTGCAGGCTGGGCCTGGTATGTTCTTGGATGGGAGACCTCCAGGGCAAACCAGGTTGCTGCTGTAGGTGCTGTTGATAAGGAGCAATCTTGTCTCTAGACCACAATCTCCCAACCAATGCCCCAGGATAGTGACCACTGACAGGAGAGAACACTGTGCCTCGAATGAGACATTAAACTGGGGTGCTGACTACTTGGTCATCAAAGATCTCATGGGATATCTTCAAAACAGTAAGGCATATATAACCCATTGACTTTACAAAGCAATGTTGTGTTTTGAGACAACTCCATCAGCTTGAGGAATGCAGGGGCTTATTATCTAATTGCAATGCTACGAAGAAAAATAATCTGAAGACCATCCAGATGTCCTATATAAATAGTAAAATAAAAACTGGATGATCAACAGAGGGAAGAATGTGTGGTATACAAGCCTTTCCAAAAGTGCAATTGTCCCTTTTTCCACTGGCTCTCCCATGGTTTCTTGTTGAACATCTCCATCAGGCCCAGCGTGATGCAAAATCCACCTGCTTTTGTCAAGTTGGTGTTTTGGTACCAACGTGTTGTTTCTCCCTTCATCGGGGCTGCTCATTTTATGGCTTACCACTATAGTATAGCCTACAGATTCCGCTCCACACCCAAACCGCTGAGATAAGCGCACAAACCCACAGTCAGAAACACAAATCGCACTATCTTGAAACTAGCAGGCCATGAAACACGAAGGACTTCATTTGCTGGAGGACGGAGGTGTTTTTTTTTAAGAAAAGACCTTTTGAGAAATCGCTGTGCTAGGGGCCGTGAGCAAGCCATCAAGGTGACCTCAGCAGCCCGGCCAGGAAAAGGACGCTTCCCAGAAAGCACCAAACCACCCTCCCCCCAGCTCACAACCACCAGCTTCCTCTTTCCGAAAACTATGCTACCAGAACACCAAGAGCAAGGGGAGGGCAGCACAGCACAGACTTGCACAAGTTCCCCACCCTTCTGCCATGTGACTGGAAAGACACACACACTCTCTCCCCACGATCCAGCTACACTGCGCAACAAGTTAGCGTCAGCTGTTAAGACATTTAAAAAGAGCAGGAGAACGGTGGGGGAGGAGGAGGAGACAGAGGAGTTAAAGGGCACACGAGCGCACAGAAAGATGCACATATACAGACCGAACACCTGCTTTTCCTGGTAATGCCAAAGGTGAGATTATAACGGCGCACGCTTATACAACTGACCGCTGCAGAACGCTCCATATAAATGCCAGAGACGCCGGCAGTAAATGTGACAAAGGAGGGCAAAGCAGAAAAGTTTTCACTCTGCTGCAGTGTGCAGCCCAACTCACAGGGAGAAAGACTGGGGAAGAATGTGGACGCAGAAAACGAGAGGAGAGAGCAGAGACGAAAAGGAACAGAGAGACAGGGAAAGTGGGGACGAGAGAGGCATGGAGGTGGGCAACAAAAAGGGGGGGAGCGTAAGAAGGGAACAGCAGGAAGCGAGGGAGCGATGGGGAGAGAGAGAGAGGGAGGGAGAGGGGAGTATGTGCAAATCCACACGCTCTCAGTCTGCCACTGGGTATCGAGTCCTGTTATATAAGGAGTAATCGCGGCATTCAGGCACAAACGCACAGCGGACCGGAGACCAGCAACACTCAGCGGGGACAGGGCACGCACACGGCCCCTGCCCACCCCAGCACAGACCCAAGCTCATGGCCTGCGGTGCCCCTTATGCCATCGCAGGGGGTGGCCTTACATGCCCCTACATTCTCACCCGCTGAGCTTAATCATGAAATTGATCTCAATTTTCCAAGCCTTTAGGGGTCAGTAGATGTGAAAATGAGCCTTCCAGAACACACAGCCACAGTCCGAGTGCACCTGTCAGGGTCCCAGCTGACCCGATGCCTCACCTCTTGCTGGATGCTTTAGGATCATTGCATATGAAGTTTTCGAAACTTACCCAAGTCTGGGGGTGCCTATATTGCCCATGAGCTCCTGCCATGAAGGGCTGAGGTTTGTCTTGGGGAGACGCCGGGGAACGTCCCGCTTCGAAATCAGTCACACCAACTGACTGAAGCAGGAGTTGTCCGAGGGGGTCTTTTAGACGCTCCTCCTAGACGAGCCGGACCCCAGCCTTGGGAGAGGCCTTCTCTTTCCAGGACAGGCAGGACAACGTTTTAAGAGCTCAGAAACATTAACAAAGGGGGCAAGAACTGGATGAATCCAGGGCCAGGGCTGGGAACCAGTGCCCTGGGGGCACGGGGCAAAACCGCTTCACACGGAGAGAAGGGCCAGCAGTGCCCCTGTCCTGAAAGCGGGCCCATGTGGCCTCAGGTCCGAGCCAAGCCAGTCGGTACAGGTAGACAGCAGCTAGAAACCCCATGAAGACAAAGCAAGGCCCCTCCGAAATGTGCCGCACAGACCCAAGGTATCCTACAACCACTGGAGGGCTTGCAAGAATACACAAAATAATCACAGAAAATGACTTCCTAGGAATCGTATTTACTTTCCCTTACACAGCCTGCGCTCCTCAAAGGGCTCAGTGGCTAAGGATCTGCGCCTGTGGCTGGAAGGTTGGCGGTTCAAATCCCGCGGCCGGCAGAGGAATCCTGGCCGACCCTGCGCTCTGACCCCAACCTCCTCTCCCCGTCTGTGTGTCTGCGTGTATGCAAAAAAGACGAATTTCTAATGCAAAAAACTGTATGGGGCTAATAAAGTGATCTTATCATTCTCCAGATCAGCCTCCAATGAGAAGTTCCCGAGATGTTTGCCCTTTGCATCTGGGAATATAATAATAATAATAATAATAATAATAATAATAATAATAATAATAATAGCTTACATTATATAGCGCTTTTCTGGACACTCCACTCAAAGCGCTTTACAGGTAATGGGGACTCCCCTCCACCACCACCAATGTGCAGCATCCACCTGGACTTTGCCATATGACTATGCATGCCATATGAATATGACTTTGCCTCGTCTCTCTGCAGGTACTCTACAATGACCCGCACGTACTGGGACACTCAGCATGTCGAGTGAAACTCATCCCTTCACTCCATCATGCACGCTCAGAGCCTGCCAAAGTCCCACAAGCACAGCGCTTGCATGAGAGCTGGGAAGCGGCCAGTTGTAAGGGACCAATAACACCCTTATCTGGAAAACAAGCACAGCGCGGAGATAAGGCATGAAAAGCTGTTAGCAGTTCTCAAAGGTACTTGATAGCTCCTATCGGCACAGCATTCACTGGACAATGAAAATATTAACATCCAAGCCCCACGGCTTCCTGCGCGCATGACTTTTCTATAGAGAGCGCCATTGACATACTGCGTAAAGTCCCGGTGGAGTTTGGAAAGTTACAAGCCTGATGATACAGAAGTGCTCAGGGGACGCACATATAAAGCTCGAACACATCCACTGTGTCATCGGGCGTGCAAACGCCAGGGATAGTTTTGCCAACACGCCCCACTGCTCGAGCGGCCGAAAATGCGCACGTGGAAATGAGCCCCTGCTGAGGAATCCGCCAGAACCGGCTTGTGATTTCACTGCTACAAGTTGGGGCCTTTTTTGTGGCTGGAAGGCCTCCAGACATGAATAATAATGGAAGCAAGTCATGCACATTTCTTTCCCAGAACTTCCCTCCTGTACCATTACTTATACAAGACTGCGAGTGCTTTTCTGGCCACTCCACTCAAAGCTCTTTACAGGTAATGGGGACTCCCCTCCACCACCACCAGTGTGCAGCCCCACCGGGATGATGGGACGGCAGCCATAGTGCGCCAGAACGCGCCCCACACACCAGCTATCGGTGGGGAGGAGAGCAGAGTGATGAAGCCACTTCAGAGATCTTGAGCAAGAACATACTCAAGATCCCTACTCAAACTCCCCCTTGGTGTGCAGGAAAAGGCACAATCTCTCTTCATTGCGCATTCGGGAAAACAGCTCCCGCTGCGTAGCGCTTTGATCCAGCTCGGGTTTTTCAAGCAGGATCTTGCGCAAACTGTACAAAGGGAGTGGAGACGCAATATACAATATTATATTGGCTTTGCAGTCGCATATTTACATGCACTGTGAATCAGGTGGCAGGCAAACACGTATGCAAAGTCACTGCCAGAAGGAGGTTGACAAAGAGGAGCCTGTATCTTCTACAGACTGGAAGAGGGCCAGGGGCTGTGCAGTAGAGGCCTGATCCGCTTCGGCAGGAGCAGGTCGAGCGGGTCGAACCCTGCTCTGTTAGGGTGCTCTTAGGAGAAACCAGGCACAGGGCACTGGGGTCGAGCCCCAGACTCAAAGGAAATAACAGAACCTCAGTGACTGTTCGGCTTCTCCCTTATCACGGTTCAAACCAGCTGTCATTTCTTACAGGGGGAAGGAGTGTAGGAAAAACTTGGGGGGAAAAAAAATGAAATAATTGGCTCAGCAGTCGTCATTATCCTGAGCGACTTACAATTTTTTGTACTTTTAGGGTAAATCCAAGGGAAAAAAAAAAGATTGTAGAAGTTATAGCCAGGAACAAATCATTTGGATCTGACATGGTGTATGTTAAGTGGTAAATTATATAGTCTATCCTTTTTGAGGTACTTGTCGACAATGACCTACGCGTGTTCCTATTCTCGTCGTCGCTCTGTAACCTTCAGGGCTGAACTCCGTGACATTAGCCGGGAGCAGGAGACCAGGCTCCAGCCCGCAGCGCGTTCCGGGCCAGAATGACGCCACCTGAACCACGGGGTCACGTGTTCGACCCTTTTTTGTGGGGGTGCTGTTTCACCGCGGTCTGACTGTAGGGGAGACCTGGAGCCCTTGAGGAGGAAGAAGGCTGAGTTTCCTTAAATTTGGCAGGACAGGCACGTCTCTCGCGTGCCCCAGAGCACTTAGGTGTTTTTATTTTGTGTGAGCTATTCAGCATTAAGTCCGAAAGGAAGGAAAAGCGCACCCCAAATATCGACTTTCCTGGGTCTGTGCGAAAACCATTAGTGTTAAACAGCTTGATAAATATATACATCCGGAATCCTAGTTCTTATCTCTGACTTTGACCATCCTGTTAAGAGGATGATAACTATCCTTTAATAGGTCCCTTTAAGTGCGAACTGAGATCGCGGAGCAGATAACACGGAGCGTTTCAGGACAGCCGAGGCTAAACAGGCGTCTGAAATTTAAGAAAAAAAAAGCCAATGAGAGCTATCTATACCTTCTCGCCTCAGAATAAGACTTTACCACACCGTAAGGTTTTAACTGCGTCTCTGGTGGTACAGGCACGATTTTTTTGTAAATTACGCCGCAAAGGTCACTGGAGGTAAAATGATGATTGATGCATACATTTAAAACATATCGAAGAATCAAGAAAATACGATACTTCAAAGGTCTATCAATGCTATTGAAGAGATCGGTTACGTGTCGTTTTTCAAAGTTCCGTCAACAATACTTTTAAATATGAATAATTGGTTATATTTCGAACACACATCGGCGAGCTTTCAGTGTCTGAAGTGTTTAGCGTGTCGAGTCAGTTGGGAAAAAGATACTCCAAGTCATTCAATCGCAGTCGTCACCGCAATAACTTCTCTCAAAAACCCAGGCGCAGCAGACTGGCCTGCGATTGTTTCAAATTGATCAGGGATTTCAAAGCCAAAAGGAAAGACGAGGAAACCAGCTTCAATTTCCACGGGGGAGGGAGTTCCACGAAACAGAGCGGAAAAGGAAAAGAAAGAGCCCTCGTGAATTCTCACCACTTGCGCAATCATACTTTCTTCAAGTTAAAAACAAAATCGAAACGATCTGAAGAGACGACCACTAAATTCGAGCGCCTCGAAGCTACGTGTCTGAACTCAGGCACCACGCAGCGTCACACATCTCCGAAACTGAAGGTAAATGCTCTCGGCGTGTTCTTGCATATTTCATCACGCACAACCAGGAAAGAAGGGCAAATTTGAGCCCGCAAAGTTCCAATTCGTGGGTTGTCACTTATTTACATAATTCTGTAGAATAATACAATCTACACTGAAGAGGTTTTAGACTTTTCCTAACACAGAGCAGAGGACGTCGCTGCAGGACGCACTGTTAAGGTTTTAAACCCGATTGCCCTATTCAAAGGGATCTGAAGCTATTGTTAAGGTACGATGTACTATGATGCTAATAAGGCCCAGGGAAATTACGGGCTGCAGATACTCGAACTACTGACAGAACTCACAACATTTAAACTTTAAATTAAAGTTTTTTTAAGGTCTAAATGATAGGAATTAAGTCGTGTTTTCATAGTTTTTTCTCGAAATGTGTAAATGAACATGTACACAGTTAACGTAAGTACACGTAAGTGAAATATTACGTATTCATTAAAACATTAATGGGAAAAAAACTTTTAAATACTCACTTTTTGTACTTGGTCATGATTCAGTTCCGTGAAAAAGTATGCCAGTAAATGCGAAGCAATCATGGTTCCCAAATTACGTTCCCCAAAATACAATGTAACAAAAACGAATAAATTAGATTATTTTTTTCTCTTTTTGATTGAAGTCCTCGCCCCTAATAGTCTTGCTTTCTGCGCGGCTATTTGAACCCGTTTTACTTTTCTTGCTATAAAATGTGCTACTCGCGTTCGCCCACGAACATAGCCAGTACTTCGCTTCCAGTTGCCGGCAGATTGATTTCCACGATGTGGACTGACGAAGGGGTTTCCACATGTAACTCGAGCCTCCGCTGACGTCACTCGAGCCGGCCCCCCCGGATTGGCAGAGCGGAAGGTGTGGTGCTGGTCGGGCCAATGAGCGGCGCCGCTATCGAGAGAGAATGGAGCCTTTCGGGAAGCCGCGAGAGGGCGCGGAGTGACTAGACTCATTAGAGCGGTGCGACGCGTGAAAACTGGCTTTGAAAAAGATGGCTTAGGCATTACTCATACATCCTCCATCACACACGTACAATGCGCTTGACTTACGGTCACAAGGCACGTCCCGTTAAGAGGTCAAGACTAACTGGAACGGGGGGAGAAAATGACACAGCTTCTCCCATGTAACCAATGGATTGGCCGGCTGCTTCATTCATGTCATGAACTAGAAAACCAGGACCGACCGGTAAACTCCCCTTTGAAGGCAAGCGGCTGCCTATACTTCTTATTCAATTATCCTAAAGTCTTCTCACTCAGGTACTTGAGTTCCTTTTACAGCAGGTCAGGGGGTCTCCTGCCCCGGTCATAGAGAGAGCCAATCCAGCTTGTCTAACAGGTCACCTGTTTCTACAGATTGTTACTGATGAATTGAGCAAGTCACCTGTTCAATGCACAGAACTCTGTCCCTTGAGGGCCAAAAGCTGCTAAGATTGTGGTGCCAAATATTTCTACATCACTTGATTTCACCAGCTTAATATGCCAAAATGAAATTGCTCCAAATCTCTTGACACCGGAGATGTAGTGGGGAATTATAAAACTGACTGGACAGGAGCTCTTCGGGTCCGGAGGTGAAGACCCTTCCCCCAGGGTTGCCACTGTGTTTAAATGGAAGTGGTGAAATTCAGCGTTTTGGCTCAGCGAAGCGCTCAGCACCCTGGGGACTGGAGCTCTGCGGAGTCTGGAATAATCTGCTTCAGTCAGCTACAGGGTCAATGAAGCATTTCCACTACCTCCAGGCCTCAAGCCACCCCTGGCGTCTTCTGTGCCTTTCCTGAAAGAGAGCCGATGCGTAGGCCCACTAAACTTTTTAATGAAGCTTGATTGCTTCTTTTCGGAGCTCAGAAAAGGCCACAAAGGTTTAGACACTTACCCTGCGCAGAATAACCTGCTCTCAGGTCCACAGCTCCGCTGTTTCACTGTACTGTTGTTTCAATGGTATTCTTTCTGTGTGTTTCACCGTTTGTCCAACCAGCACCCAACTTAAACAGTGTTTTTCTTTAAAGCTAATCATACACTCTTCTGTTTGCTCCGGGCTTTGCGCGTCTACCCAGTGGCACAGCTCCTGTGGGCACTCAGTATGAATTACTGTAGTTCTTATCAGTCTGCAAAAGAACAGGTTAAAGGTTTATTCCCTGCTGAAAAGAGAAGAAAGGAAACAACGTTTCAGCTGTGGAGCCGTTTTTGGATGTGAGGGTGTTTCTTATGACTTTGGTCAA